ACTTGCTTCTTAAGGGGACAATAGTTGTTAGTAAGAAAACAAGTTATTATGTGGTTTGTTCTGGTCTTCTTTAAAACCACCATTATTGGTGGACAGCGTATGTGCTACCATGGTGGTGTGAGGCCTGTAGGCATTTACAAAAACTTGGGATGTTCCCATGGATGGGTCAATGGTGTTTGAGAGAGGTGAGGTAGGTAGACTTCCATAGAGAGGAGGTTTTGCAGATACTTTGTACTAGATTTTATTCATAGTTAGGGAGCTTTGTTACATGTTGGCATTAAATAGCCAAAATATTTTGGATCCAAATGAATTTTCTTAAGAAATTAGAACTATGCTGTGAACATCTCTTTTATGCAGCTAATACCACTGTCCTGAGTGTGCAGAATAAAAGCAGGGGGAAATCGATGTGACAGGGCTGGATCGAGCGAGCAAAAGGTACAATGTCCAGTAAAGCTTCAGTCCTGCTCAGAATTATTTTTCTTGATTGGCTTATGGACTGAAAAGTAAAAAGCCCTTTGCCAGCAGTTAATGTTCAGTCTATTCAGATTTTGGTGAAGAAATGACTATCTGATCAGATAGTTAACCTGCTGATTTTACATCCAAGTTCTTTGTTTTTCCCTTTGAAATTGAAACAAGTAAATACAACAGTTACTTTAAGAATGGCTTTTAGGAGCCTTTGGCTCCTAACTACCTGTAAACTTAGAAGGGCCATAGAATGGTTTGGGATGGAAGGGACCCTAAAAGATCATCTAGTTTCAATCCCCTTGCCATGGGCAAGGACACCTCCCACTAGACCAGGTTGCTCAAAGCCCCATCCAACTTGGCCTTGAACACTTCTGGAGTTAATTTGGTTCCCATGATGAATTTAATTTGGTTCCCTTCACTGGGCACTTGCTGTTTATCCCAGGCAGGGCCTGGTATACTTGTTTGTAATTATGTTTTTAAATAGGGCTAAGTGTCCTTGATTTGTGCAGCCTGCTGATGGTTTTATCTTAGTAAATTGACTGCCACTGTTACTGAGAATCGGCTACATGCAGTTTTGTCTTTTGAGATAACAAAATCACCTCCATTAAAAGTTAAAAAAAAAAACCACAGCAACTTGATGATACCAAATCATGTTAATGGAAAAAGTATGCAAATATGATAACTACTTTTCAACATTCTGTTTGTTTTGGTTCTGGGAGAGGAGTGAACTTATGTAAAATTTTTCTTCTTTATTGACACCTTATTTAAAGGGAAACTAGTTTTGTTAAGCTGTAATTAAGTGGGAGGATAGAAAAGCCAACAAGGAAGATAATTTGGGTCATTACAAAGTGCAGGATTAACAAATATAGGTAAAACACCTTGTAGGTGGTTGTAGAAAAAACCGCATCTGCCTGTTGTATCTAGAATATGTTGCATTTTCTTCCCGTTGCATCTTCGTACTGAGAAACTAGTCCTTAAAAACTCATTATCTTTTCCTCTATTTTCCTGCATTCAAAGAGAAATGTTAATGGTTTCACTGTATGGAACAGTGAACCAAGGGTAAAACATTCAATTTCCTCTTCGAGTCCACATAACCAGTAAGCAAATGCTGTGGGATCTCTTCAAAGGCTTCCAGGGGCTGTTTTGTTCTGTAAGAAAGTTGAGATCTTCCAGATCCTCCTCATTTTGTATAACCAGCAGTTGGTAACACTGCCACGTGGAGTGAAATGATGCATACCTTTTCTGGGTTTGCCTGTGGAGTGGGTCCTGATACCCCAGTCATTGCAGTTGTGCATTGAAGGTCACTGTCACAGAAGTGAAATAGTTGGAGTGATGAGAATGGAGGCCTGGGGAGCAGAGGATGATTTGGGAGGATGTTGAGCAAGATTAGGATCACCTGTCTTGGTGCGATGGGGAAATGGGTTCAGCTGAGGAGGTGAAGGTACAGAGATGAAGATGACCTGCTCTGTTTGTGACTGACACCAAAAGGGACAGTCGCGTTTGGTTTTACACGGGGCCTCTTCACCATCTGCTGGCTCAGGAAGAAGCAGCGTTCTCTGGCCAGGAGTTCCAGTGCACTGGCATGCAGCATCTCATGCGGTGCTCCTCAAAGGAGGAGGTTCTGACCCTCCAAAGGCTGTTAAGCATGAAAATAAATGTACCAAATAACTTACAGCTAAAAAATAAAATATTTTTTTTTTAAAAAAATCCCTGTAATATGTTTGAAGTTTCATCTCCAGTTACTTCTGGGGTAGAGCTGCAAGTACATTTTAAACTGGACATGTGTGTTGAATTAGGGTTGTGACGATGATTAAGGGACTGGAACATCTCATGAGGAAAGACTGAGAGACCTGGGGCTGTTTAGCCTGGAGAAGGCTGAGAGGGGATCTTATTAATGTCTATAAATATCTGAAATGTGGGTGTCAAGAGAATGGAACAGGTCTCTTCAGGAGTGCCAAGTGATAGGATAAGGGACAATGAGCACAAACTGTAACATGGGGAGTTCCACCTAAACATAAGGAGAAACTTCTTTACAGTGAGTGTGACAGAGCACTGGAACAGGCTGCCCAGAGAGGTTGTGGAGTCTCCTTCTCTGGAGGCTTTCAAAACCCGCCTGGACATGATCCCGTGCAACCTGCCCTCAGTGAACCTGCTTGGGCAGGGAGCTTGGACTAGATGATCCTCAGAGATCCCTTCCAACCCTCACCATTCTGTGAAATTTTCATGTTCTTATTAACAGTGGTAAAAAGATGGCTAAATACTGTGATGGGAATTCACTCTGTTAGTGGCCACAGTTTTGTGCAGTGAAATTAGGAGTTTGTAAATTCTGAAGTACCTCTCAGGTTTAGCAAAGCTGAGAAGTCATTTTGGGAATTCTTTGGCTGATCTTATGCCATTAGGACAGGTAAAACTGTGTGCTCAGTTAGATTCAGTTCCCAGGGAAGAGGACAGAGCCATTGTTGAAATTATTAAATCCTGCTGCGTGTGTGAGGCCACAAAAATGCCTTTTCAAAATGATCCCTTTTGTTTTTTTCCTCCTGCCTACTTTTTTCTCCCTGTGAAAATCTGTCACACTTTATCCAAGCCAGGCTCGAAGGAAACAATAGTCCTATTGAATAGTAAAGTAAGCACAAGGAACTCTGAAATTTTAAATCCAGTAGCAAAGTGTGCCTTTTCCCTGGGTAACACTTCCTGCCCACTAAGAAGGTTTGTTTTGTACACAGGTCTTCTCTGGAAATGTGCAAGAAATGTTGTTTTGTAAATTTTATTTTAAAATTTTTGACATAATTTGCACTGTTTTCCTATAGGTTAGAATTTGCGTGAAATCAAAGACCACTGTGCTGTTCATAATTATGTAGAATAAAGTTATTATGCTTTAAAATTACATCCAGTGATGCACTTTCTCATCCTTGAATGAGAAATATTTGATTGCTGTAGATTTATCTTTTGTTGTTTCTAATAAGGAATAAATAACACTATATAAAAACTTCTTAAGCCTATAAAAACACTTCTTAAAGAAAGGCAATTAAAAAATGTTGTGCCTTAGACTACTGGGTTTTTTTAGATGTATTCTTTGTAATGTAGTTCAGAAACTTTTTATAATTAATTTGAGATGATTTGGGGTAGTGAGCAACTTTTATGCAAGATGCAGGTGGAAATGTAGAACACATCAGCTGTGGGTGTTGCCACGCAAAAGTTATGCTTTTGGTTATTTATACTTGTACAAGCTGACATTTCATATGTCAAGTATGCGAGTGCAAGTCTATTTGAAAACAAGTTATTTTAGAAAATTAAATTGGGCAGATTATATGTATTTAGCTTGTAGTAGCATTTAAATGGTTTAATTTTGAAACTCCTGCTCTTCTCTAAGTTTTGTAGCACGAGTTGGAACATCAGCAGGCAATCCAGACACTGTGAATGGGGATAGGCTTTTCCCTGCTCCATTTAATAATTAATTATAAGTCAGACAAGTGGAATCTCTCTGAAAAAATCAGTTTTCATACTCCTATTCCAACCTTTACAGTGAGATTAAATCTGTAGTGTGCATAACAGGAAGGAAGCTAGTGGGAGCAGAGGAGAGGCTTACAGGCACTAGAATAACCTTTTGGGAACCTGGATTGAACCTAATCTTGTAAATCGTGCTATTTCTGTGCTGTCACCCAGTAGCTGGGAAATCCCTGGCCAAAATTTGAGTTCATCTCTTGAGTTCACATGTATGGCCACTGTTTTTCGTTACTGTATTTAGTTATTGAAAATATTGAAAAATATTCAATCGTTGAAAATATTCAGAGGATTCTAGCCTGGCTATAAGAGCCAGATTTTTGTTGTGGGTTTTGATAGGATAGTAAGCTTTTAGAAATAAAAATTATAGCATTGCATCATGTGCTCCCCCTCCTCCCCTATTTCTTTTACATTTTGTGGGTAAGTGATAAATTCACCAAATATTTTCCATAATGGCATTAAAAAAAAAAAAGTGAAGAAGGAAAAATTTCAACAGCTTCTTAAACAGGCCTGTTTGTGACAAGCTGTTTTTGTGTGCCTTAAAAAGACTGGCTTGTGGTACTGTTTTTTATTGACAATAACAACAGAGATGCCATCTTTCTTAAGAGAAAGTATATACTCACTGACAGTCAAGACAGGCTTCCAAGCAGAGGCTTCGCACAGCTCTGCACAGGCCTTCTGTCATGCTGCGTGCCTTGCTACCTCTTCCTCCTCCTCTTCTGTGCAAAGTGGCAGTCTTACTTGCTCTTCCCTTTCTTGGGCCTCTTCAAATTGCTCTGTGTTAACTATCTTCTCTGAAAGCTCTTCTGACAAACCCTCTATAGCGTAGTCTGCAAACGCTCCTCGATATTTTGCTTGCTCCAATAGCAAAAGACTCCTGGCAAGTCTGTCCTGTTTGGTCATAGGAGCCTCACTGAGGAGCTACCGAGGGTCATTCCTGTCAATCCTGAACACCTCCCTCATCATTCAAAGAGCAGGCTTTCTTCAAGGTGATAGACTTCTTCCAAAAGCTGCATTGTGTAAACGTTGTGAGCATGAGGGATGCCACCAGCCAACACTTCATGGCTCACGCTTGTGCTGGTATCTCACTGTGCCCTCCAAACCCTGGATACTGGTCTTGTTCTTGAGATATTATCTCAAAGGTATTGTCTGTCTCTCTCGTTTAATTCTGTTACACAAACATTTTCTACAAAGGTTAATTTCTCCAAACTGTGTATAGTCCTGGTCAGTCTGGTGACCTACAGGACGGTGGCCTTCTCATGAGCTATCTTGAAGGTATTCTCAGTAAGTTGCACAATTGTACGGTTATTGTACCCCTAAAAAATAGTCTTTGCCATTTGAAAACCCAAACTGCTTGTTAGTCCTTAAAAAAATAACAAAAGAGAAGAAAAAACACCACAGGTATATTAACCACATCAAACTGTCCATCAAATATGCCTATAAACATTTTCTAAAACCTGTGATCATCACTGGAAATACTAACTTGGAAGATCTGTTATGCTGGCAGTATCTGCAAGTTAAGACAACTCTACTCAAAAAGCTAGCAGGTCTCAAAAATGCACCAGGAATGCAGTATACACTGTGCTGTCAGATATAAACTGTATTTTTTCTGAGTACAATATTACTGTTCTTAATAATGTAAGGAGGATGGTTCTAAAAGGTTCTTCTTGCATAATAATGGGTGCAGTCCAGATACCATGTATGAATTTACTTTAACACAGAGAGAAAACCAAACTAGCCCTACATAACCCAGAACTGTACAGAACATCCTTAAGTGTTTACAGTGTACTCTGGAAGGAGATTCTTTCTTGAAATAAATATTTGCAGAACTGACTCTTCACAGGGTTGACACCAGTTTTCCAGCCTCCCAGAGTTAATCCAAAACAAATACCTTTTTGCCACTTTGACATAGTCCTGGTTTTATAAGTTTCACTGATCTGCCTCATATTTGCTTATTTGTATCTCATAGCCTATAAAACAGATTTACTCTAAAAAAAAAAAAAACCAAAAAAAAACCCAACCAAACAAAAAAAAACAAACAACAAAACCAACACTCTTCCAAAATACACTTTTTTTGTTTGACATAATTTTCTGGGTAACAGAGTAAGCTATGCCAAACTAATACTCTAATGTTTACAGTGACCTTTTTCTGTCAATAACAACCTTCAGCATCACTGAAGTGCCTTGCATCTGCTTGCTGAACGCTTCGTTCTCCTCCCTTTAGCCAGTTACCACAATGACAGCTCTTCTTTGCACAGGGAGACAGAATGAGTGTTTGCAGATTCCTAATTCTTCAATCAGTCAACTGTTTAAAAGAACAAAAAAAAAGAGAAACAGCTTGGCATTTGTGCTGTTCTCTAGTTTTTCCCCTGGTATAATTGAAGTGAGAGTTGCAGTTAGGGAACCTTAGTTTGCTTGTGATTTGTGATTAAATTAAGATGGGAAAATTAAAAGTGACATCTGGATTATATACACTTACATCTTCAGGACTGCAGTTGTTCCAGTTTATTATTGACACTTTGTCTAATGTACAAGGAGTTCAGTAGTCTTCAGTTTATGTACTACTAGTTGCTTTTGGTTCAGTTAAGGCTGTTTGAACTAGTTAGAGTGGAACCCATGCTGGTTTGAATGAAGAAGGGCTGAAGGTAAATCCAAGCCAGGAAGACTGTGCCACTGGACAGAGACATATGGAGTTTTTAGCCATACAGTCCTCTTTCTTTCTTGGATGTTGCGTGCAGTTCATATGTCCAGTTCCATCCATAGCTGATTGTCTGGACTAGTGGAGACTGAGCTGCCATGCAGCACTGGGCTTGCAAGTAATGGTTTTGACCAGCTCCAGCTCCCTTACAGACCAGCTTTTCCTAACAGGAGATGACCTGGATTTTGTTGAATATTTCCTTGCTGCTTCACAGCTTGACTACACCAATGCAGCAAGCCTGTTAGTAAGGTCACTCACTCTCATGAAGTTTTAGGTGGTAAATAGTAAGCTTATGAGATCTATCTATGGCATAGATAGGTTGCAGCAGGACTTCTTACTCTTTCTGCTCTAGCTTCTTATAGATTCTGTAGCTTCAAGTTAAAGATCCAAGTCCTTTATCTTTCACTTTCTTGCTGGCTTGAGTGTAACACAATGGAAAGATTGCAAACAAACCTTTAATAAGAGCCATGCACCGCAGGTTGGATGCAATGACAAGGACAAAGCTTGTCTGGGCAGTGTGTGGAGCTGTCCCAGGACAATCACATCTTTGTGCTGCCCACAATATCAGACAAAAAGACTGCTAGTCATTTTGTAGCAATATTATGAAGGGTTGCTTTAAGTGTGGGGTTGCCTGTTGGAAAATTATGCTGTATAAATGGCATTGTTTGTTGTGGTTCAGTGATTTTCATATCAAGTTTGTTCAGTTTTCAATTAGGATAGGGTTTTTTTCTAGCCCTCAGCCTTCCAAGCTTGGCTTGTCTTTTCAGAATCAAGTTGTGTTCTTGGCTCAAGAAATTTCTTTGCAAATTAAAATTCAAAAGACTAAGTTCTGGTCCTGTGCAGTTTTCATACTCCGTCATACAGCGTCCAACTGAGTTACACAGGTTGTTCCATGGGTGATCTTGCAACTGGAATTCAGGAACTCAGCTGGAATTTGCTCATCACCTAATGCACTTTGAATTCAAACTTAGGCTATTTTTCTTTCAGGACAACAATAGTACAGAGTAAAACAAAACCAATACATATAAATTTTGCTAGTCAAGAGTAAATCAAATGGATTTTCTGTTGGTTCCCCTCTCCCCCCCAGTAAAATTGTGCATCTTAGATGAATCCCAGATCAGGTCTTTACTTCAGTCCATTGAGATCTCAGAAACTGACAATTGGAAGCTTTAATACAGTAACAAGCATGAAAACCCAAACCAAACAGTTGTGTGTGAGATACGGAAAATTTGGTAACTATTATTGTTAAGGATGACATCTGTGAAAAGTTAACCTTGTTGGATGGTGGTGTGGAGGGTTAGACAGGAGAAGCAATTCCAGGACTGTGAATGCATAGAGAAGCTTTCAGGATCTTAAAATGTGTCTTGCCTATGTTGATTTATAGAGTGACTTAAAATATCCCATTGAGAACTGGGCCTAAAACAACACTCGTTATGTAATACTGGCACTTGCAAGCTTAACAGAAATATCAAGTGAAAATTATTTCATAGGTACTATACTATTAATGACCTTGCAAATTCAGAATAATTTTCTTTTCATTTTCCTTGTTGATTTGCAGCTGCTGTTGGCTTTCTGACAGTTTCCAGTGTCATTACCATGTCAGCCCCTTTCTTTCTGGGGAAAGTTATTGATGTTATTTATACAAATCCCAGTGAAGACCTCACTGCGAGCCTGACCAGCTTGTGTGCCTTGCTGAGTGGAATCTTTTTATGTGGTGCTGCTGCTAATGCTACTCGTGTCTACCTCATGCAGACTGCAGGTAAAAACAGAAGCAAAAAATGATGCTGAGAGTCATCTTTTTTTCACACAGAATATCTAATCATCTGAAATAAATTCTTGGCATTGGTTGTGATATCCTCTTGGAATCATTGGGTTTTTTTACCACATCAAAGGTAAACTAATAGTGCAAAGATAAGTACGTGGAAATAACTGTTCCTTTTTATTTTCTGTTACATGGCATCTTAAAGCTCACTCTCTTCTGATATATTAAAACTCTGTAATGTGACTTGCTCAGTGGTGTGTAATCCTATGATTTTCATATTGTCAGTGTTTGTGTGAAGACCTGTGTGCCATGCTTGACTGACTTCTGTTTCTGACAGGACAAAGAATTGTGAAACGTTTGAGAACAAGCATGTTCTCCTCTATTCTGAAGCAAGAAACTGCTTTCTTTGACAAGACCAGAACAGGGGAGCTGATAAACCGCTTATCATCAGACACAGCCCTCCTGGGCCGTTCAGTGACTGAAAACCTTTCAGATGGGCTCAGGGCAGGAGCTCAAGCATCCGTGGGGGTTGGAATGATGGTATGGTGGCCTCTTCCCTGCTTGTCACTTCTTGTAGTTTCACGTTTGTTTCAGTTCTGCTAGGTAGGGTGTGAACATGATTCAGTTTCAGAAACTGTTCTGTGCTCTTGGATACAAGTGTATTTCACTGCTTATCTACAGTAACTTTTATGTACTGCATTGCAGTAGACCATGTGCCTGTACCCACTTGATGTTTACACACAAGCCAAAATATGGATAAAGAACATTTGAAATGAGCTACTGTTGCTGCCCAAATTTATCAAGCAAAGTATAGTAGGCAAATAGCCTAACTATTCTTACTGAAGTTATTAAAATCAGTGATAACATTCCCACGGTTGTAGGTAAAATAGGGTGTGAAAGGGTTGATGTAAAAGTCCTTGAAGTTGGTTGATTCTGGTTGAGGCGCAGATGAGCAAAGGCAGCACTGAATATCAAATTACTGCTGAGGATTATTACAAGCACTAGTCTTTCTGGTTTTGTCTGTCAGTAACGAATGTGTTCAGGTAGGAAGCGTGATAGGGGAGGCTTCAGTGCAGTGCATCCATTAATATTCCTTGGTGATCAGTTGGTTTACATAAAAATTGGACTTTCCTTGATGGTTTTTGTGGCATTAATTTTGTTATGCTTACCTGAGAAAAGATACGTTGGTGGCAGTTACCTTAAATGAAATTGCTGTTGTCTACCTGGAGTAAAAAACATATAGCAAAAAGCCTCTTTATAGGAATCATCTTTCAATATTGATGTTATTAGAAACTATTCAGTGTTTCTGCTACGAAAATTATGATATCATGTTTAACGTATGATAAAAACTATGACTTTCTGCATTTATCTAAACAAATAGTCTAAGATTTTATTCTACCATAGATTAAATGCAATATATAAGGTATTCTGCATAAAAATACTGCCATGATACCATGTTAAAAGGTGGACTAGAAAAGCTTGCACAGAAAGAAGAGATTATTGTGAAATAATTACGAAGCCTGTCAGTTAAGTCAGTTTTTAATTTTTCTGGAGATTTTTATCTTCAACACAGGAAGAAAGATTAGATCTAATTTCAATAAGTCTCATGAAAAGAACCTGTTTAGGAGCTTTGATGATGATTATTACGAGTAATAAGGTTTAGCAACAGTAAATAAATCCCTTATTCCAGGTTATGTGTGTTCGTGGGTGACAGGCAGCACTTGTGACTCCACCTGCTCCTCGGTTACCCGGAAGTAGTGTGCGATATTTCTGCCCCTAAACTTTCTGTATTACACCATCTATTTAAAAGTTATGAAATCGCTTTAGAAACTATATAACAGCTTCTGTCTTTCAGGTTCCCCAAGAGATTTCCTGGTAGGCCTGTTTACTGGCAGGTTAAGATACTTGGCTAAGACCACACAGCAAACCCATGAGAAAACTAGAAATGAAATCCAGACTCCTTTCCTTAAACCTTTGTTCTAGCCAAGGGACACATCCCAAATGCTGTGGAGGAATGGATATTTTGCCTGGAAGAAATAAAACGTGGTGAATGAAAGCGTGGCAGCACTAAATTACAATCTTGCTAGTTGTAGAAAACTCTAGCGAGGGGAATTGCACTTCAGTACACCAGTTTTCAATCTGAATGCTAACCCCTGACATACCTTTTTCTTCCAGTTTTTTGTGTCTCCTAGCCTTGCTGCATTTGTCCTGAGCATTGTGCCACCCTTGGCTGTCCTGGCTGTGATTTATGGAAGATACTTGCGAAAACTTACTAAAATCACCCAAGATTCTCTTGCAGAAGCAACACAGGTAATCTTTTAGCAGATGTTTTCTAGTTAACTTCAAAATTGCTCTAGTGTATTTAGATTAATATATCTGAAGGTACAGATCTTCTGAAGATAATTGTACTGTTCATTGCCCTAAGCCATGCTGAGGCTGTAGTTTTGCACCTGACTAGTATGAAAGGTAAATGTTGTAACTCTTATTCATAGATCTCAAGGTTTAGGTTGTCCATAACCATAGAATGTGGAGGTGCCAGGCCTGGAGAATTCGGAACTGTAGGAAAGGGTAAGGACATTAGGCTTTAGCTTTGTGAGACTGTAAAAAAAATCAGCCTATGAAGTCCAGTGTAACTTAGTACCTGCGTTTGAAAAACACTTTTTTTTTTTTTTTTTTAACTATGGTTATGAGTTTGAAGCTATCAGAAGCATCCTAGATAGATCTGTCTTTTAAGAAAACTTTGCTAGCAAGTTCTTCTCTGAAATGAATCTTTGACATTTGATCTTATTGTCAACTCTTTAATGTTTATGAGGCTTGACATTTCTTAAACTTTTCTGGGCACATACCCAGATATTTGGGAGTGAAGTAGAAGAAGCTGTTTTTTCTAAAGAGGCCACTGGAGAGATGCCTTTGTTGTGTTTGCTGACTGCAGTGAAATATTGCAAAGTGCTATCAGAATAGTAACGACAGTGACCTTTTTCTCACAGGCTGAAGGTGGGGAAACAGCATTAAAAAGCACAGAAATATAATTAGGAAAAAGCTAGTTAAAACAGCCACAGTTGTCAGCTGTTGTAAACTTGGGATGTGCTTTGTAGAACTTGTGCAAAGTGGCTGTGCATAAGGAAGATTAGCCCTCTTCTGTTTATCTTCCTCATCCTGTGCTGAAGGGAAGCTCATGCCTTTGTAAAATAGGTGTAGGGCTTCACACGAACGAGCAATTTTACTGGTCCATGCAAATTTTCAGGTTGAGTGGGGGATGGAAGAAAGAGAATTATATTTATATATCATATTTTTACTCACAGAAGGGGGCCTTGTTTTTTTGTTAAGACCGTCACAGTGTCTGTTAACAACTTATCCTAACTGGTTACAGTTGAGGTAATTTTATAATTAATACTTTGCTGTGCAGAAGTTAAAATACTGAGTTGAAAGGAGACATTAGTAATTGAACTAAATTAATTCCCGGTGTTGCTTTGATCACATGAGTGGAATTGTTTCAGGAAACAACTGCAGGGTTTCTTGCATAATTTAGTGTAGAACAGAATATTCTTTTTTTTCCCCTCCCCACGTTGTTATTGCAATTTACTATGAATAGTAATTTTCTTATGTGCGTTGTTCACATAAAGTGTTTTTTTAACCCTATTTCTGTATTTTTCTCTCTCCTAGCACTTAAGGCAATCTTGAAGTTCTTTTTGAACTGGTTGGGCATGCAGTTTACTTTTCACTAAATGGTATTAAAAAACAAAAAAAGAGAACATTAGAAATTTCCCAGTGTTATCCAAAGGAGTGTATTTGGAGATCAGTGATACTGGTTTAACTTTCAAATGTTCTGTAATATGAACATTCCAAACGGTGTGTCTTTGTGTGTTTGTTTTGTTCTTTGCTTTAATGTAGTTAGCTGAAGAGCGCATTGGAAACATAAGAACAGTCCGAGCTTTCGGGCAAGAAGTGTCTGAAATGGAGAAGTATACAAATAAAGTTGATTATGTGCTACAACTGGCTAAAAAAGAGGCACTGGCTCGGGCAGGCTTCTTTGGAGCAGTAAGTATATTTTGATGAAAGTAACCCAGCCATGTTATGCCAAGTGTCAGTTATTTTAAAATTCATTATGATACTTATAAATCTGCAAATAAATTAGTTGAGTGTAAATTGAACCCACATAAAACTGTGAGAATTCTGGACTTAAATCAGTCTAAATTGCTGTGAAACTGCGCCTCAAGATACAGTGGTATGATAAAGTCTGCTTAAGCCTCTGTTTCTGCCCCACACCCTATAGGTTGGTACTATTTATTTGAACCCACGCCTCCTATTCAGGGAACTAAACCAGTTGAAACCTTCCCTCACCTTTAGTGTTCTACAGGTTTGGCTTCCTGATGAGATGAGCATCAGTGCAAAGGAAAGTGGGGAGCACGCAGTTCAGGGAGGGAGGGTGGGATTGCACTTTTCCATAACAGCTTGCAGAGAGTTTGCTGAATAGTATTTTAAAGCTGCAACATAACTGCAGAGTTATCAACTCTTCTCCTTTAATGATGGTTGAGAGTTTGGTGTTCCTTTCCATATTGGGGGGGAAAAAACAAAAAAGAGTTGCTCGCTTTCTGAGTGCTTGTTGGACAGCACAGTGCTATTGAGTTCCAGAGCTGCTGGAACTCAGTGTGGTTGTTGGCTTGCTTTGCTTTAATTGGTTTTGCTCAAATTTAACTCCGGTATCTAAAAATTTAACTATGGGTATCTAAAAATCTAGATACCCATAGTATAGGAATTCTTCTATTAGAAAGAAAATTCTGAAACAGCATTTTAGAGTATGAAATTTAAGATGTATGCGACAAAATCTGCCTTTTCCTTTTTTCCTTAGACTGGCCTTTCTGGGAACTTAATTGTCCTCTCAGTCTTATACAAAGGAGGATTACTAATGGGCAGTGCCTACATGACAGTTGGAGAACTCTCATCTTTCCTAATGTATGCTTTCTGGGTTGGAATAAGCATTGGAGGTATGGAACAAGAAATTGGATTTTCTTCACTTCAAAGCATTACAGTCAGTCTTGGGTCAGGAGCGAAGAAGCTCTTTAAAGATCTGTCTTTCTTTAAAAGTCTCTTCCAAATGATCTTTCCAAGATATCATACTTTTTTTTTTTTTTTTTCTGACAAGTTAATAAAGGTAATAATTTATAACTTAATATAAGCCTTCCATTTTCCCAGAGGAACGCAGGGTGGAAGATTTCAATATGTGTATGTGACAAATATATATTACTTTAATTTTCTTTAGGTCTAAATGAAGATAGTATATTGTGTAAAGAAATAATACTGGTATTATATTTTTTACAGAATATGTGGGCCTGCGTTAGACAGACTCTATTTAGAAAGGCACGTAGACGTTAGCTGTAATTCTGTATACAGTATCTTGAGCTGGAAGAGTGAACAAAGTGCCAGCAGAATATTACACTCTGGTGCTAACCTTTTGTTTTTCCTTACTGACTCGCCTTGAAGCTCAGACTCTGTAATCTACTGCTCCAGAAACAAACTGTTCATCTTTTTGACACTGCAGTCTTCGCTACTGCGTACAGGCAAAAGTGGAGATAAGGGACTTTGAAGTTTGACAAGTGATTGGAAGGGTTCTTCTTTAAAATGAGTCTGTTACTTCTGATAGACTGACAGGGCAATACAGCTCACCAGTACTCTTCTAAAACTAAGCCTGATATTATAGGAAGCACAAAGATATGCCTGGAGGCAAAATTCACAAAACCTACTTCCTTGAGTATCAAAATTCCAACCCGTTCCAACTACCAAGCCCTTTTCTTCTCTGCTTAAATCATCCAAGTTTGGTTAACAGACAGATACCTGGCACTTTGAAAACATGGGACAAATTAATATTAAATAAATTAAAAATAAATTAGGAGCACTGATAAAATACCATTTAATTAACTTTTATTTGCTATAAAAACATGTTTTTAAATTCTGCTTAAAATTATTGAAGAATATAGTTCTGCACAAAGCTCATTCTCATGGGGACTCTGAAGTAAAGGTGTCTTGCCACAGGAGGCCTGCCCTCCTTCATGCCTACAAGGCATGTGAATCTTCAGACTGCTAAGTGTGCTCCATATATGTCATCATCAATACGTATAAGAGTTCACGCAATGAACCGGGAAGCTCACTGCATAATTTCAGACTTTGCCCCTTTTTGTTGCAAGGTTGCTCTGTTTTTTGCCAAACACAGGTTATTAAATTGTAAAACATTTCCTAATTAGTATTTGCTGTCCATATTAGATTTTTTTTTTTTGAGTGGTTTTGAATTTGCAAACCTCAGTGTCTCAGTTTCAAGGTGCCTTCTTGCCTGTGCCCTGCTCTAGGATGTAAGTGCTTTTGCTCTTTTTCCCAAGCAGACAGCTTATCCCCATGGCTAGTGCCTTGTCTTGCAAGTTTTTAGATAATCCTCAGCAGCAGCATGATGAAATGCCCTGTCTACACTTACAGACTCATGACCTTGTGCTGGGCTTGTTGCTCTGCAAGGATAAACTGGTAAACCAATTTTAATATTCCTTGGCTTTTCTGTCCTCCTAACACTATAGATATTTTAAGATAGAAGTGGTTTATTCCGTAGGAATTCAGAGATTTTGAAATTGGTTACTCTGTTTTGAAAGGCATGCCAAAAAAAGAGTGTTTATTTCAGCTGCAGAGCTCTTGAGCTGAGCCAGCTCCAAGATTATTCACACAGCTGCTACAAGCTGTGACCCAGTACTACATGCAGGCCTTGGCCTTAGCTTTTGCTTTCTCCAGTAACATTTGAAGCCTGCTGACTTGGGAGACACACTCCTTTTCGTTGCCCATTCTCCACATAACCTTCTCAAGCGTCAGTTCAGCCGTAGGTTTTGTGCTCTCCCTTCCCAGTGGCTGACTCAGCCAGGCTCTCCTGCAGTACTACAACCCTGTCTGATAAAAAAGGGCATTCAGAGTGCTCCATTCTACTGAATGATTTTGGAAATATAGCTGGTTGTGTGCAAGGCTGTTCTCTAAAGTTAGATGCTGTTCTTCCTGACAGATGAGTGAAAAACAGTTGCTTTGCTTTTGAGTATACACAAGCTTAAGTGTATTCATGTAATCTTTTTTTTCTTCAGAATAATTTGTTTTACAGCTATAAATAACATATTTGGTAGTGAATTGGAGTAAAAAATCCCCTGCACATCTGATGCTTCAATGCTGGTGATGAAAAGTTTAACAAGTTTTATGTCTTCTATGTCTTCCATTCCATATGGCTGCATAACGTTGTTCTGCTTTTTGTTTAGGTCTAAGTTCCTTTTATTCTGAGCTAATGAAAGGACTAGGTGCTGGTGGACGTCTGTGGGAACTTATTGAAAGGAAGCCCCAACTTCCATTTAATGGTGGGTCCTTCATTTGTTACTGTGCACAGGTTGACTTTACACTTATTGGTCACCAGTACTTCAGAAGGATGTGTATAATACTTAAAGGTAGTACTGATTTACATTCTTTTAAAGAAACTAGGTACAGTGGTAATTCTTCTGATTTTTCCTAACTATGAAATAGATGATGGGCTGCTTTAGGCCTAAACATAGGTTTGGGAGTCTGAAATCACGTCTGGTTCTATCAGTATGTTTGTAGAAGAATGTGCTTACCTCTGGGATGTGTGAGATTTTAATAGAAGTTTGCTTTTTCTGGAAGCTTTCTGATGTAGTAGTCAAATCCCACAAAGAAGATATGCAAACTTCATCTATAAATCTGCCTTTTAAATATGTATTTAAATATAGTAACATTTAAACAAATATATACATTAACAAGAATTGAAATAATATTTAATAACTTTTAATTATTTAAGTAGTGCAGCTACATGTTTTAGGATACTTAATAATATTTAATTATTGTAGATAAAAATATATTGCCAGCAACACCTTATTTACAGCTTTATTGTTTGGAAGCTGGACAGCAGCACCCTCTAGTACTGGGTATATTTTGCACAAACAGCATTTGCCTGCATCCATCAAAGTAGTTGAATGAGCTGCTTGTAGAAGATACTGTCTTTGGGAAGTGCTGTGTTATTTAAGCAGAAGTCATACCTGAGTGTTCACCAGCTCTGTATGTTGTTAGGAAATGCAATCTAGCAGAGTCCAAGTAAGCTGTCAACATCAGTTCTCCCCGAGTTTCATATGGTCCTCTAACTTGGAAACTGTGAAAGGACTGCTCTAACAGTCAGAAAAGAACATCCAACAGAACTAGCAGATTCTTTGCGGGGAAAAAAAAGCAAAATCAATTATTTGCTCTAGAAAGAGCACGACTAGTGAAGTCTTAATTGCTACTGATGGATGTCTGTGTTCCTTATGCACAGTTACTGTTTAACCAAACGTGGGCATGTGCTACCTACCATGTGCTGTGGCTAGTTGGGGGTTACTCCTGTGCTGCGTCTGAAAAAAATTAAGGGGTCTAAGTTGCATTACTGCTCGAGTGTTGCCCTGGTGCGGCCAGTTCTCACAAAGCTGGTAGGAACTTCATTGGTAGGACTGTCCTTGGGGAAAGCAGCACCACTGTCCAGGTAGTTTGCCTTGTATATGTGTTGCTGGGATTTAACAGGGCTTGAAGAAACTTTGTTTCTTCATGTTGCACATTGATAAGTTGCTTCTAGTACTTCATTTAAGATAATTGCTTAAATGAAATACTGCACTTCAGAAAGAAGCTGGTTTTATTTAACTTTGGCAATTGTACATTCATGATGGCTCCTTACAGTATTTTACAAAATGAAATTTTTGTTTCAGTGAGTTGTGGCCTAAGAGTTATGCTTCTGACTGGTCTTTGAATACACTGTTATCCTGAATTTATTTAATATACTTTCCACTTAAAAAAAAAAAAATCTAGAAAATGAACATTAATGCAAGAAACCTAGCAGCAGCTTTATTTCAGTAACAGCCTCTGCTTAAAGCTGCTCAGTTCACATGTAATGGAGAGGGAACTGCTTTTGTTCAAAGAAGAGGGTGTCTCAGGTGGCTCATGTGGCTTGATGAAAGGGCAGTAAGGGATTTGCAATGTTTATCTTCTTGCATGTGTTCTATGGCAACGGGACTTTGGCCTTCAACAATGCCCTTTTATTTCATTGCTCCTCACAGACAAAACTTAAATGGTTTGTAATATTTTTTAAAATTAGATAATTCTACAAGAAGTGAATGTTTTTAGGTGTTAACAAGATGCAAATTCTCCCTCATGCTGTAGGTAGCCTACAGGTTCACTTCTGGGGAGCAACCTGAAATTACATTCAGGAATGAGTGGTGTACCACACTGATTCAGTCATGGCTGAAATGCAAGCCCTGTGATCCTGAATTGTGGCTTGCAGCTACCCCTAGATTTAACATGGGGATAGATATTTCTTTTGCGTGTCTCTAAAGCAAGTTCTAGGAGGGCTGAGCTCATTTTTGTTTCTGTTCATGTTTCTGTATTTTATTCTTTGTCATACAGAGGGAATCACATTAGGCAAAGACACATTCAGAGGTGCTTTGGAATTCAAGGATGTTGAGTTTGCCTATCCAACACGTCCAGAAACATCAATTTTCAAAGATTTTAGCCTTTCCATTCCAGCTGGCTCTGTTATGGCTCTGGTTGGCCCAAGTGGTACAGGGAAATCAACTATTGTATCCCTTCTGCTGAGGCTGTATGATCCTATCTCAGGTATGTTTTGTGTGTTGCTCTCCTTCATGACAGTTGATGCTTTGCATCTCAGATACACCTTATAAACATCCAGGGTTCTTGTGCTTGAGATCCTGGTGTGACCCTTCTGCTGAGGCACCGTGCTGTGCTCCGGGGTGTCCGGCCACCTTGTCACGGTGCCTGCACAGCTTGGTGTTTCTGATCCACCAGCACGTGATTCCCCAGGTGTCATTATTCTCTCAACTCTCCTTTCTGCCTCTTTTCAGTTCTTGTCAAACACACTTGATTCTACTGTTTCTTACTTTTAAGGTACTATCACTGTTGATGGCTTTGATATCCGTCAGTTAAATCCACTGTGGTTTAGGACAAAGATTGGAACAGTGAGTCAGGTAAGGAAGAAAACAAAAATTTAAGTGAACAAAATAATTGTGTCATAGACTAGCTGTGCTTCACTTTGATTATTTTTAAAACTATATAGTCCTGCTTCTCAGTGAAATCCTCCATCTCACCATGACTGCTATTGTGCACACTTTGTTCTAAAAATAAGTGTTCAGAACTAGTCCCATTATTCTGCAGTCTGTTTTTACATAATCATAGAGATTCAAATTATTAGCTTAGAAGAGAGATGTGCATGTGGAGACTGGAAAATACATTGTAGCAAATTGTGTAAGTGTGACCATCTTGATGTTTGCTGTGATTTGGTGAAGTAACACAAATTTAACATTTAATCACATTTTTGTATTAATGGAAGTTAGACAATCGTATTTTACACAACCATTTGAAAACTGACCTTCTGTGTGCTGTGTTGTTTCCAAGCAAACTTAATTCCATTAGAAAAGCATTAAAATACAGCACTGTTGGCTCTTACTCTTGTAGTGTCTCCTCCCTAGCAACCCCCAGACTCTGAAAGTACAGAGACATGTTCAGTTGTCTCTTAGAAATAAACTATTTGACCAATTAAATATGTATGTTCCTTCCCTTGTCTCCCCAGATGCTTCACAGTGCAATTAAGTGTTACATTGATGTTCTGGTTAAAAGCTGATTGTCTGTTGCAATTCAAAACATCTACTTTATGCAATAATGCCACCAAAAGCTTTTGTACAAAAAATATTTTCCTAAGGGTACACTAGCAGTTTACTTTTTAAATGTATGTATTCCACCCAAGTAACCAATAGGAGTTTCACACAGGTTTTCGTACTGCATTTTATAAACAGAGCAGACTTACCTTGTTTCAGACATTTTCCCATTTTACATTGCTTGTCCTATATGCCAGTCCTCTTCTCTGTTTTAAGCTTTAATATAAATTAAATGCACTAAATGCCACAAAACCTGTGTAGATATCAAGAAAAGAATTACCGTTGTTGCAAATTATGATATGTAGTGAAGTACAAACGGAGGGGTTCTGATATTTGGATGAATAACTCTTTCTGAACTCTTCCTCAAATATTAGGAAGTGAGAGTTTTGTTGCATCAGTTAAAAAAGCAACGTATTTTTTAATTGGTTTTCACTACCTATTAAAAAAGCAACTTATTTTATAATTGGATTTCACTGCCTATTTTGGTATTAGGAGATGGGGGTTTAATTTGTTTTAAATTAAATTCACTCTAGCTTACAAATTCTCTCATATGGATATAATAGAAGTTAACACTAGGTCTTGTAAGTGGGATCTATGTTATTTGAGATCTAGACAATACATGCATGTATGTTCTACCTTATTACTTGTGGTTTTGAATTTATCAGGAACCAATTCTGTTCTCCTGTTCTATTGCTGAAAATATTGCCTATGGTGCAGAGGATCCTTCTACTGTGACTGCAGAGGAGATTCAGAAAGTTGCTGAAATAGCTAATGCTGCTAGTTTTATCAGAGATTTTCCAAAAGGGTTTGACACTGTAGTTGGAGAAAAAGGCATTTTGCTTTCAGGTACATCTTCATATTGCTTATTTTAAAAATCTTAATGCTATAGAGTGAAGTAAAAATTCTGTTATTTTTTTGTTACCAGTTTTTTTTCTCTAAGTCATAATCTGCCATAAGTATTAAAAAAGAAAAATCCCTCCTTTATTTCCATTCCCCCCTAAAGTACACATGTCTAATGCTTCTCAGACCTTTTTTTGTATTTCAATTTACTGAGCTTTTTCCCCCAGGTGGACAGAAGCAGCGGATTGCGATTGCTCGAGCTTTGCTCAAGGTAAGCCAGCACCCAAGTAGCTGTTTAACTACCTTGTGGGGCGGCTGGAAGGGTTAAAAAGGAGGAGTTCTTTCAATGGGAGGGGTAGAAAAATATTTTTAAATGGAAAATTATATTTTTTTATGTTAATGAGGAAGTTTGAAAGGGCTGAGTGGTTTAACTAAAGACAATTTAATTATGTAAGTGCTTCTTCCTATCTTTCAGTCACATTTTTCAATAGTTCTGGCCAAGACTGATGGTAAATCATTGTACAGTGGCACATTTTCATATGACCAGGTCAAGGATGAAGGACGACTCATACATGACACCTCTGTCTCTGTGTTCACATCTCTATCACTTGTGGGTTGATTCTGGGATATCATTCTGGGTTGCAGCTTACTACCACTATAAATGGCCTGGCTTGGCTCTGAGGGGAGCTAGTTTGGATTTAGGACAAGATACTATTTCAGGCACAATGTTGTGTCATTTTTTTTCTTCAAGGGTCTAGCTTTAGGGCAGGCTCTATGCTGTACACATTTGAGGAGACTTCTGAGGATCTTCTGGACAGGAGGTTTGGTTTAGGGACAGCCATGGGGCCTTGCAGCAAGGCAGTTTGCTCAGCTGGAAGATTTGAGCCTTGCTGAACCCAGCTTATATTTATATTAAGCTACACAGGTCTCCATAGCATCCTAGCATGCCCAGTTCTGCTAGATTACTGGGAATTATTACTATACCAGTTCTTCTTTTTCCATGAACGCTGAACAGCTGACTGCGTTTCATGTCAAGTAGCATCTCATGTCATGGGAGCAGACACTGTTGTGAGGGAAGTTGTAAAAAATAAATGAGGATTTGATACATATATGTTCAAGGGTGCAGTGGAGTTCTTTCTCTTCCAGATAAAATTTAAAGCTTTTACTGTCAACTTAATCAAGGTGGTTTGGGTTATGCGCTGTCATTCAGAAGAGGCTTCTTGGGGATTCAAGTGCTACTGTTTTTTAACTTTTATTTACTTAATTGGGAAGGGTTCTTAAATGCTAGCTCTTAAGTACTAGGTATTTAACTTGTGGGTGAAATGCTGCTTGTTGGTAGGCATTTGTTCCTTTTTCTGACTGGACAGTTTATATATAGCAGACATTGCAAGCAGAAGATAGCTGAGCCTTTGTGAGAAAGATCCACATGTGAGCAGTAAAAGCAGTAAGTAGGAAAGTGAGTTTTTGACCACAGTGCTGCCAAGCATCCATTAAAAATCCTCCCCCACATTTAGTTTGTGTCTATCAAATAGTTATCAGGCAATAGTGTTCTGTTACTTCAGTTTGGAAAATTTGAATATAGAAGAGTGTTGGTTTTGTTCTGTCCTCTTAGCATTTAGACTTCTTAAAAGTAATGCTTTCATGAACATTCAATTCTTTTGATGAAGTAAGTAGACTTATGTGGGAGTTTAAAGTGCTATGAATCCTGTTCCTATTGATATAAATAATCAGAACTTGTCTAATGGTTATTATAACCAATTTTATTTTCTTTTTCAGAATCCTAAAATTCTTCTGTTAGATGAAGCAACAAGGTAAGAAAGCAAATGAAGAGAAACTTGGAAATGATCTCTCTGTAAAACTCCAGTTTGGGAGGTGTTCTTTCTTTCTCTGCATGCCCTTGCACAAATTATCTAGTCTCTTGCTTTTCTCTTCCCACAAAAAGAATGTGCTTTCTAGAATGTGTGAGTAGTTTAGGAGACCTGTGATAAAAGCTGCTTATGGAAATTGGAAAGGAAAGCTGACACCTTGTGCTGCTACTTTTCCTGGAGTTAAGTTTGTAATATGTAACTTGATTTTGAAACGCCTACTTGAAGCATTTTTGTATCTTTAGGTTAAATGAAGATCATAGTATAAAAGAGAGATTATACTCCAGTATAACTTCATCTTTCTCACTGGATGAATTTAGTGTTATTTCTCTGTGCATAGTTTTGCATATGAGGATCTGTAACGCCTGTAACTTGGACGTGCACACGAAGCGTGTTCATGCAGCTTTCCTGCAGTTCCACCGGTTCATCTTCACCAACAACGACAAGAGTTTGCTGTTTGAGCAAAATAAGCCTAACACAAACAAAACTAACCTGTCTTAAAATAACAAATATCCTCCTCTCTCCCCTCCCTGCTCCCTATTTCTTACTAGTGCTTTGGATGCTGAAAATGAGTATCTAGTGCAAGAAGCTCTGGACCGGCTGATGGAAGGGAGGACAGTCCTCATCATTGCTCATCGCCTGTCTACCATCCAGAATGCTGATTTTGTGGCAGTCCTTGGCCAGGGTAAAATTCTTGAATGTGGGAAGCATGAGCAACTGCTTGCAAATCCAAATGGACTTTTCAGGAAACTAATGCAGAAACAAGCTTTTCTTCAGAACAGTGATACTTTTGCGTTAGACTTACAATCCAGAGAAAAGGATGTATTAAAAGAAAATGTATGAGAGAATGTATGAATAATGGAAGCGTACAAACTACGAAGAATATAACTTATATTTCAGTTATGTAAAGTAAATGTTATATTTTTCCAAAATGTACAAAATATTCTTTTGAAACCTAAATGTGTTTAAACTTTTTATTGAAAGCTTTTTAATAATTATTGCAACTTTTTAAAATGTCTGTCACATTGAAAGAATTTTAGTGTATAGATTTTTCTGCTGTGTGTTAACTGAGACCATTTAGAATTCTGTTGGCTGTAATGCACTGTATGATGATGTGCTGCATTCTCAAGTCCAGTATTTTAAAGGGTAATTAAATGACAATCTTATCATTTTCATACCACTGTCTCTTCCCTTTTCAAGGAACTTTGGCTTTTTTTGCTTGTCACTAGTCTTAAAATGCTGAAAATCAAAAATGTGACACTAATGTCCTGAAAGTTTCATCTCACTTGCAGTGGACTGTCCTTTCAGTTACCATCTGTTCTGAAATGTGAAAGTTGATTATGATCACCATGTACAGTTACTGTAGAGTATCACATATGACAACACATTTTAGAGAGTATGGAAGCATGAGGTGAAGATAAGTTCTTTAAAACAAACAAACCAACAAACTCAACAAAAAAAGGCAACCAAACAAAAACCCTGATGTCGTATAAGGATAACAGAAGTGTATTGGTATGTTGTCAGCACAGAAAAATCTAAAATTTCCATGCATTTTATTCTTTCTTTATCTTCCCAGTTCTTTAGCTTCACTTCCTTTCTAAGATGATGTCCAAGAAAACACACTCTTATATATGTAAGTTTTTGTCATTTTTTTAAGGCATACATAAGTTTTTTATGGTTACTTAAAATTTCACTGATAGAAGCTCTGGGGCTTGCATAAATACTTTATTAAAGACAACTAGTAAACTACCTTCTCAAGGACAAGTAGTAAAATAACAGCATTACATTAATTTTAATAACTTCAGGAGGGTACATTTGGCAGTAAAGAGTAGGCGTCATTATATTAATGTAATAATATCTTCCAGTAAAATCTGTCTAGACCTTCTGAAGATGTAAAACCCCACAAGATAACCTTTAAAAGGTAGAAACCTTCAGGTCACATTAAAACTCATCTATGCTAGGAAAACTTGTCGCTGGAAATATTCATTGGCACTAGGTGAGATACACAGTACTGGGCAAGCTTAAAATATTAATCTAATGTGCCATTAATGGCACTTTGTGGAACATAGTGAAAACACTAAAAAGATCCCTGTGCTAGGGAATGAAAACAAAATTACATCCAGATGTAATTTTTTTTTTCTGATATAGTTTTACTCTAAGCAGGAATTATACTAAATATATACCAAAAATACCACTGACGCAATGCTCAATTTCAGTGTTGACTACTAATTATTCTCTTTATAATGTATTTAGAGGGGCGTGAACTTTAATCTTTACTCATGTAATCTCTCCTTATGTGAAATGAAACAGGCCCCTTCACACAGGTTACAGGAATTACTTGCAGCCAAACAGAATGAATGCTTTATGTCTTTTGTTGATTAGTTGTTCCAGCAGGTATTACAGTCTACAGAAAAGTGTGAAAAGCTACAGAAAAGCTCTAGTGCATAGAAAGGTAAATGTCTGTCATAACAGGTATAATGGGTAATATAGACTTTATTCAGGTTAGGACCACTCAAAATACTCACTGGAGCAAACCACAGACCTCAACAATGTGAGAAAACAAACTTTCTTAGTAACCTGCAAGTAGAAAGCTTTGCTGGACAACTTCAGATTTGTGCTTTACACACGTGCAGTGTGTGTGGTGTGTGCACGTGGCAGGTTGTATTAGCACAACAGCAGTGCTAGTCAACACTGCCCATGGTTGTTGTGAACTGGACAAGCCTTAGTAGCTTAATGGGGAAAAAGGTGTGAGAAAAAGAAAAATTAAAAGTATTGGGTTCTTTTTGCTACAAGAGTTGAATACCTGCCTGGCTAAGGTGGAAACTGTTGGTGTATCTCTAACAAGTCTGATAGGTGTCTTTTTCTAAGGACCACTATTTCATGACGCTGCCTTGCGTAGCACGGTCCACAGGGCAAAAAGGGACCATGCAGTGTAGAAAAGACAACGTGAGAATATCCGAGCACACATCAGAAAGAAGTATAAGCCAAACTTTGTTATACTCACTGACTGGATTTTCCATCATTGCCCTCTGCAGATTTTAGTAATGCTGTATATCTGCTGTTCTGTTCAAGCTACTGGTAGTAGGAAGAGGTTCTGCTCCATGAGGGATGGCATTAACAGCTCAAAACACAACTGCGCTACTCCTAGTGTATCCCAAAGGTCCTCAAATGCTTTTGATCACAGGCAAATACAATTCAAGTCAGATTAAATTTACCCAGCATTTTCTGAAGGAAAGGCCAGACCTTACTCAGAACCGGTAGAGGCTTCAGTGTCATTCTAGCCCTGGTGCAGCACATTATGTATGACCATTTCTCTTTTATACCACATACACTAGTGTTCAACTTTGGCCTAAACTTACCTTCTCTGTGTAGAAAAAATAGTAAAGATAATTTTCCAGACATTCAAAAATAAATGTAACTAATATAGAAGTTTTTCAGCTGGCATATTTTTAGTTGATGCCTATGGACATAATTTTGAAGCCTTTTATTAATAATGCCTTTTCTACCCTTGCTGCGGAGGCCAGAACTATTTCCTTCCTTAACTTTTTCTACCCAGTCATGAATTTTGGGGCTTAAATATTGTATCTAATTGCTTTCAAAACTACCCTTCTAAGTTCATTAGGTTAGTTAGAGTATTTGGAGACTTCATGGAAGGTCAGCTCTCAATGTCCACTTAATCCCTTTACTGTGTTCCTAATTAGTTTTCTGAATCTTAACAGCTTAAGTGTTTTCCTGAAAGAAATAAGACACTGAAAGTGTCTTGAGTAATTTTATTACTTAAACTACTTATTAAACTATTTTAATGCTTAAATAGAGCTATTGATCACAGCAATTCAGTACGATTGGCATATCTGAAAGAGTTAAAGTTCTTTCAATTTGTGTTTCAAGTACTTAATGATACTTTTTGCTTTACTCTTCTGATGCAGAGAGCTTCTTTTCTGTCAATGCATTAATCTTTGAAAAGAAAGTGGATTCCAGTTAGGGGAGTCATAGAACAGAATGTCCTGCCTTTGTGGTCTCGCCAATTCTGTCTTCACATTTCCACTGCTGTTTTCAGCTGTCTTGAATGGGAAGAATTGTTTCCAGTTGCTTAAGAGGTCTTAAAATTCATGATACAGTGATCCAATGGATTAATACTCTGACCTGTTAGCGAACTCTGTATTCTGATGAGCAAGATGTTACCTTCCTTGCGAAGAAGAAAATGTTACTGATTTTTATATGCATCTCTGTTTAAACATCTGCATAGTCCCAATAAGGCACGATCAGTTAAACAATTCATGGTGATTTTGTTTTTCTCTGCAGATCATAGAATGGTTTGGGCTGGACGGACCTTAAATATCCAGTCCCAGTACCCCTGCCACGGGCAGGGGGCACCTCCCACTAGACCAGGTCGCTCAAAGCCCCATCCAGCCTGGCCTGGAACACGGATGATGGGGGTTGATCTCTGCTCTCCTTTCAGACTAATTTCCATTCTCAGTGAATAGGCAGCTATTTGTGGCTAGTCTAACCAAGCAAAATATTCTACACTGTTTTTCAATCCGTTGGTCAATAAATCAAAACCAGAAGTATAAAAAGATTATCAAACCCATCTATTTTGAAGTTACAGCTTTAATCCAAGTCCATTATTTCCATTCTCTTAGTTCAAGTCGCCACTACGTATTGTCAAAATCGCCTGCTAAATTCACCTTTTCATGTGAAAAACAAGTACCACTCGAGTCCCAGTTCACGAAGGGGTAAAGGCTATGGTCGATACGGTGGTTTACCGCCGCCGGGCTGTGCGGGGGACCGCCCGAGGGAGC